TGTCCAAGGCTGCACAACATCAAAGGGATGCTGGGCACGTCTGTCAATCAAAACCTGTCATCCCAGACGTCAAGGCTTGTGTATTTTCAAAAGAGTTCAATTTGTTTCATGTGTGATTTAAGGATAGGGCTACAAAGTCAGTGCTGTCACTCCACAAGGAAAGGCAACTTAACCTGTACAGTCACATAGGAGAAGGGAGGCCAAAGATTTAGCCATATAATTTGTGCCAAATGCTCCTTCATTAACTGCTAATTACAAGAGAATTTCAACTCTATTTCTTAAAGGTATAGTCCACCTTTTGAAAAACATTTACTAAATATACTAACAATAATAAGAAATAAAAAGTACATTTGTTACATTTTTGCATTCAGACCTGCAGAGCACTGTAACTGAGATCAGTGTGTCACAGGTACAATGCACAGACTCTTTCGTTGCTTAAAGAGTTTAAAAAGGTAAAATGTTTTTTACTTTAATATATTCTCTGCATTACTAAACCTACAACAGTAAAATCAGTCTGTATATGCAGTAAAGCACTGAGGAACCAAAGGGGTTAATCCTCCTCATTGTGTAACATGACTGTTTGATCCTGCCTTTTCTGATCATCCCCTTCTTCCACAGTCCCCAATTCATCTGCTGATAGTACAGAGCCCTAGGAGGTTCTCTGCACATGCTCAGTTTGGTTTGTACTGCTAAAGGGTTGGGTTTTTTTTTTTGGGAGTTTGCATGTGATCAGCACTGTCCAGGCAGAGGGTCTGGGGTCATGCAGTCTCATAGAATAGGATGGCGCAAACACCTAGCGCATTACCAGTGATTTATTTGTAGAAAATCCAATAAAAGCCAAGTGGATACTCACAGGAGTAGAGGAAGAAACAGCATTAAAAACACACAACATGCCACAATGAGTAGAAAACCGCATGTGGTCATGAAACCATGGCAAGCTGGCACATTTTGGGGGCGCAACCTTTTCCTCAGTGATAAGCTGGCCAGCATTAGTCATACTTTATATGTATATATATATATATATATATATATATATATATATATGTATATATACTCTCATATCTTACTTCACACTGGCCACTCCAATGATCATGTGAAATGGAGGGCGGAGTCCGGCTTATGGATCATGTCTGGGGTCAGAGGCCATAGGTGTGCAAAATGTAAGCACAGCATGGTCTACCCAACAGGTTCCCAAAGGTTACACCAAGTCTGGATGAATAAAAAAATCAAAAATTTTTTTAAATTTAAAATAAAAATACATTATGATATAATATGTATGTGTGCATCAGTTACAGGGATAGACCCACATATGGTGACAGTGGGAAGCCACTGAGTTGGGCTGTAAACATGGCTGAGGGCCACTGGAATGACAGCCCAAACCAGCCGCGGACCAGAAGTGCATCACCCGCACTTCTGATTTTACACAGGAAGTGACGCTGTGAAAACAAATTGGTGCCATGGCAGCAATTCGTTTTCACGGCATCACCATCTGTATAAAAACCTGAAGTGCGTGTGGCAAAGAACAGAGGACCCATCCTAATCAGCACCTCCTATGGGGGTAGCGCTACACGCTATTTAATTCATTTTTAATATTCAAACCAAGCTCACCCAACCGTCCATATCTCCATGCTTTATTTTTGTTGAGAAATCACTTTGAAAATACCCCACTAGCATTTCTAGCCGCCCTTGCGTAAGGGCAGATGATTCGTGTAGCATTTACTTCCTGGAATCCCTCTGCCCTTAGGTCAGGCATGGTTAGCTGAGAAAGCGCCTTCTCCAGATAGAAGGAAAAAATTGCTCATGAAGTTTCCAGGGATGTATCACATCATTCACTATGCTCTGTGAGTAGGCAGTGCTGTGTCACACATTTCACAGAGACTGCCTATTAAACTACATAGGGGCTGAGAGGAGGAGTCTCAGGAGGTGGAGTCAGTCCAGGAATCACTGCTTACAGGCAGTGAAGTACCATGGGATATGTAGTCCTTAGCAGGGGCGGACTGACAACTCATGGGGCCCCCGGGCAATAGGGGATCATGGGGCCCCTGTGTCCTTGGCCAAACTTAAAAAAGCCTATGAAAAAGGTACCAGGGGCATCTCATGGGGCCCCTTACTGACCCCGGGCCCTCGGGCAGTGCCCGAGTTTCCAAATGGTCAGTCCGCCCCTGGTCCTTAGAAATTGAAAGCAACCAACAAAGGAGAGGATGCAAATCATGCAGGGAATCCAGGAAGGGTTGGAAGGAGATGGCCAGCAGACAGGCAGCGCTCACAACATGAAAGGAGATTTTCCAAGTAAGCTAATATGGATTGTCATAATAAGTATATTTGTTTTGCTATTACAATACTGATGTTAGAGAATTCAAACGTATGCTATGAATGTGCTAAATAAATGATTCCACTTAATCTCCTCATTTAGGCAGGTGGTGCCGCTGCGGATCCGCACGAAAATCCGTGCAGCCGCACCACCCGCACAGAGGAATGCGGACCCGCGGGCGGGTGCCATTAGTTCTAATGGCACGCTGCCTGCAGTGGAAAATGCAACTGTACTGGGAACCGAGGTTCCCATGCAGGCTGCGTTTTCAGAAGTGTAGGGACTTCTTCCCTGCGTGTCACGTGGCACGGGAGTCTATTCAAATGAATGGGCTCTCATGCCTGCACAAAACACGGCCCGCACGGCCGTATATATGTGAACCAGGGCTTAAAGCTGAATTCCTATACTACCTAACAGTCCAGAAGACTAACCCACCTGTCAGAAACTAGAAGCTGCAGAGGTATACAGGCTCATTCAGATGGACAACTACACTGCAGTGTTTACATGTGGTTAAACCTTTATGCAATTAGCTGCATCCAGTTGTGTGTGTTGCCACAACCACTTCCCCTGGACGCAAGCTGTCTGCATCCAGGACCGGTCAGAAGCTGGTCACCACTGTTATGAACAGTTAAACGCAAACAGAGAACAAATCTGGCCCCTTGGCTGCTGGCTGGAGCAGTTTGTACACAGAGTTTGCATAGGGTTAGTTTCAAACTTCCAGTATTACTAGTGAATTGGTATGTCACTATCCAGACAATTCAAAGTGAAATCAAGGCATGTAAACAACAACACTGGCTGAACAGAATTGTGACTATCTGGCAGATAAAAGCGTTTACACACATATATTACACCAACCATAAGGAACAAAAATTTTAAAAAATGATTGAGCAACCTACAGGTTTTTACCACTAAGATTCCTTTTTACTAACTTTTCAGAATAACAAATGCAATAACTTTCGATGAAAGTCTCTTGCATGCAGACAAAATTATTTACTGATGTTTATTATTATTATTATTATTATTATACAGGATTTATATACTGCCAACAGTTTGCTCAGTGCTTTACAATATAACGGGAGACAATACAGCAACAATACAGTTCAATACAAGAGGAATAGGAGGGCCCTGCATATGTTTATATCCAGGTTCTTGCTGGCAGAGGTCAGAAGAAAGATCCTGAGTAGAGGATGTGTTGTGTTCTATAAAGACCGTGCATATACTCGTGTACAGGCACGTAATGGTTGTATATACATGCATATGCACGTACATTACTGCAGTCAAATGTAACATTTCCTATTTTTTTGATGGATCTTTACTCAGCTATGTACAGTACACGGTTCCATTGACAACAATGCACCTGTGTTCAGATCTGTAAAAAAAAAAAAAAAAGTTGCCGGGCTAAAAGTGCTACATTTTTTATTTTGCAAGGGACCTTAGGTTTAGTATACTCTAACATTTTTGAGAGCTGAACATATAGTATATAGAGAGAGATGAAGAGTGAGAGATCCAGCTGTGTAGGTGGAGTTCTGCTTTAAATGGTACTAAAGAAAAGGAGGAAAAAAATGTGCATTCCATTTTGATATAAGTGCACACAAATAATAAATTGTCTGTCTTTAGATATTTCTGTGGGGTGCGAGTCTAATGTAATAATCCCTGAAAAAGACTGTGTCATTCTGTTACAATTAGAAGTGAGAATTTATTACTGGGATTCTTTTCTTGTCCTGCTGGAGATAGCGAGGCAGGGGGAGATCTCATGCAGCCTATGGCCCCGTCCATGCCTCGACTTTCTGATTCAGTTATCCCAACGTTAACTCAGTGGACATGCTAATGAGGAAGTGCTTGCAGGATTATCATTGCTCAGCGATGAGGCAAAGGACTGTTTTAACTTCTTGAGCTCTAAATAAGGAAGCTGCCTGCTAGACATCTGACCATTCAACCAATTTGGACCTTGAAGGGGGCCCTTCCACATGTAACATTTTCAGAAAGATATCCTGTGTAACTCATCCCAGCTCTGACCTGCCGTTAGCAGCTGTTTAAAAAACCGGGGCTGGCTGCCGGAGAGGCTGAACAGGTTAGTGCTAAGTCTCTTTCTATATTGCCACTTTACCGTTGGCATGGCATTGATGTCACAATGACGTTGCAGGGTAGGACAGCCTCTGAAGTATAAAGATAGGCCAAGCAGATATAGTTAAGCTGCCCACAAGTCCTCGGGAGCTACAAAACATGGTCCCCGCCACTTTGGAGTATGTTGGACTCTGTGTTTTCGTCCCTCATTTACTCTCGGGGTTTGGTTTCATGTCAGCAAGCCCCCTCTGCCTTCCAAAAATAAGCACCCACCGCCATGCTGAAGACAGAAAAACAAGGAGGGTGGTATTTTTAGGGCCATCAATTCTGACCACGTGTCCAGATGGTGAACCGGATGGCCGTTGCACAAAGGCTTCTCATTACTATGTCCCACGGAGTAGGGATTCACTGGACGTTGCCTGTTCTCTTGCTGCTGGGTGCCATGGTTGGGATGACTTCCTCGTACCCTATCCCGAACAGGGCTAATGGGACGTCACTGGAGAGGACGTGGGAGTCGCTTTTCTCCATGTCAATGGGAATGTCTTCCGACCGATTGGATACCAAGTGGAAGAGCATTTATTTGCAGGGAATTAAGAGACAACGGAGGCTCTACTGCAATGTGGGAATTGGGTTTCACCTACAGGTCCTACCGGATGGGAAGATTAATGGTGTTCATAGTGAAAGCCCTTATAGTGAGTGACATCTGAGGTTTTATCAAGCTATTCTAAAACTGACGTCACTGCTTACTACCCCTGCATGGCCAATGTACCGTGTTTCTGAGTCTTCTGCATGTATTATAACAGAGATGCACCTGTCAGAAAATCCTATGGTGCCAGTACTTCCCATGCTTCAGGATGCCAGTATCCTCAGCCAATGTGTATATGCACATTAGTGTGGATTTATTAAGGAGCCTGTTTACTTAGCAAAGTGAATATTAATAAGGTAAAGCTTTGTTCACGTCAAATACCCAATCATGTGCAAGGGGAAAAAACTGCATTTTTTGCTTGCACATAATTGGTTGATTAAAGCAAACACAGCTTCATCTTATTTTCTAAGCTCAGTAGAGCTTTGCTAAGAGGTACACATAGCTATATACATTCAGACAAACAAATATAAAATAATAACAATAATAATCATTATCATCATGTACATAGGGTCCTTATCTCCCATGGGACCGTGCAATATAAGGGATACATTGAAGCTGAGTAATAGCGAACACAAACTAAGAAAATATTTTTCACTGACAATATGTGCAATCATATAAAAATATACCTCAATAACAAGGTGCAATAGGAAAAAGAGTACTGCCCATACAATCTAGGCAAGTGACCTAATATATTAATATATATATATATATATATATATATATATATATCCATATGTTTACACAGTCTATCTATCTATCTATCTATCTATCTATCTATCTATCTATCTAATCTATCTAAGTTTTTATGCATATACAGATTATACACTGGTATATAAAACTTTTAGATAGCTAAATATATATATGATAGTTTAATAGACAAATGGTATATAATTTACTCAACAATATTACAGCAATATATGACTAACATAAGATCAACTAACTGTATACCATTTTTGTTGATGTATTATTGCATGCAAACTTTACTGCCTGTTCACACCATAGCGGATGCTTTAGCGCGTGGTTAACACACACATTTTGGTATGTATTATTTAATTTGTGCTGCCCTACATTGCAATGCATTTTTTTTTGTACTACAAAGTATCAGAAAACAATGCGCTGTGCAAAAAATGCATCATTTTTATTTCAGCACACACCAATGCAAGACGAAAGATGGATTGCCTTGTTACTGACTTAGAGCTGCTTTGGGCAAGACTGTCCAGTGCAGCCTAATACTGCTGGTGTGAACAAGCCTTTGAAATAACATGTAAAGCTTGTACAGAGGTAACTGGCTAGCTTAATAAAATATAAATAAATAACATTTAAAAAAAATTAGAAATAAATAAAAATAGTAATGATAATAATAATAATATTAAAAGAAATAACTGCCTCATTCTAATACCAAGGGGAGAAAATTCTCATTACATGTTTCTTTGTTAGTGAAGAGGTGGTAGATGCTTTGAGTGCCCTTCCAGCCGAGGTATTCCATAAATAGACACTACAGTTCATGTATTTCTGCTCTGATAATAAACTAATTACCAATGTCAGTAAAATGGAACTTATAATAATGAGGACAGAAAGGGGCAAATAATTAACATAACAGATTATTCAGTCATATTAGCACTATAGTATATGTGTGTGTATATATATATATATATATATATATATATATATAGGAGCAGGGCCCTCCTATTCCTTCTGTACTGATATGTATTGTAATTGTACTGTCTCCCTTATAATGTAAAGCGCTGCGCAAACTGTTGGCGCTATATAAATCCTGTATAATAATAATTATATATATATATATATATATAAAAACTCAAACCTCTCTGGTAAATCTAGCTTGGTAATGCTGCCGTAATTTGTTCACACCAGCCATCTGTGGATAATTGTCTTGTGTAATAAGCAGAGATCTAAAAATTTATCTAAAAACAGTTTTTAATATAAAGAAGGGAAAGATTAGAACCTCTTTCAGGTCCGCTCTCTCTTTGTCCTGGTGTGCATAGTCACTGTGATTGAGAGCCCATTTACACTTCTACGGTCTGTTGTTGTGCACAAACACACATGCATTGTGTTGAGCATTAATCGGCATGTCGTTTAGGTAACCAGCGCATTATAGAAGAGTTGCCAACATACCACCAATGCTCCCTTTTTGCCGATACACCACAATGCATGCTATGTGCATGGAGGTACACCACTATGCATTGGTAGCTTTTGTACAGTGTGTTGGGGTGCCATTGACAATGAATGGCACCCCAGAGCACAGGATTTACAGCCTTGCCTTAACACATGTTGAGACAATACTAGTTATTGCAATGCATAGGTGTTAATAGGCCCTCAAAGTGAGGGTAAACACAAAATGTTGAGTTGTCACCAGAACAGAAATGGAGAGAAAATCTACATTGTGAATACTTCTTGTAATTACTTTTTGTCTAAGCAAGAAATTTCCTTTCTTTTGAGGGATTCCCCCTTTCTTCCTATTTTGTCTATGGGAAATTTCCCAGGTAGAACACAGTCAAATGAACTAATGGATTTTTCACCTTCCCTACTTTATTCAGAACTAAACAAAAAGTTTTGCCTTGAGAGATACTTACCAGAGATACCAGAAAGCAAAAATTAGCAGGGAACACCATAAAATTAATAAAGGATAATATACATTGGGTTGGGTTCTGTAAAGGTCCGCCTATATAAAAAAAAATACAAAAAGCTCAGATCACAAAGCTAGCACACCTGTATAGTTATCTTTTTGTTAAAAGTGACAGTTATTTATTTAAGCTGAGTCCAATGAGATTTGAAAATTACAATCACACGTAAACATAGAATACTTTATCATTGTTTTAAAGCTGTGTAAATCTTATAAGCATGATACAAGCTGGGTTCATGCTATGTCTGGTTTCTCCTCTATCACATCACCTGACACTATGTACAGGTAAGGTCTAAGAGACACTGGCAATCCTGGCACGATTGTTTGGCGGTAATATATGCAATCAGTCACTACAAATTCCTTCCATTTGATTTTTAATGTAATTGCCAGACATTGAAGAGCTGCAGCGATCGGCCAATAATTGATTGTGCACATTCAAGAACACTTTAGCTTGTGTGATCAACCAGTAAGAAGCCAGTGCAAAGGAGGATGTGGGATGAACCACAAGCAACTGTGTGTGATTTTTTTTTTGGCACTGGAAAATCACTCTAAAATCACCTGTAGAATTTACGTCTTTTGCTTTCCAGAGTACCGTAGTAGCAGAGGAAATGCATCATAAAATACTTTAGGTTCTATATTTGGTGCTGAAATCAAATGTTTCCAATAAAACCAATAGGAATTATTATAACAACTAATTATTATTATTTATTATAATACTCATGTATAGAGTTTGTCAAAATGAAGCTGGATCTACCAAAAATTGTGCAATGGTTTGTTTATAACCAAAATATTGTTTTAGCTGTGATGAGAGTAGAGCAGTCTTTCTCCACCTATTTACCCCGGTGGAACCCTTAAAATAATTTTCAGGCATCGGGAAACCCCAGCCAAAAATGATTATACTTACAGCTTAAAGCACACTAGCATGATCAGTAAGAAACTTGAATTTAAATAATTGAAGTATACCCTAACATTTGTGGTCAGTGCAGAAGTGATATCTTTCATTAGTGGTCAGTGGAAAATTGCCCCCTACCATTGGTGGTCAGTGCAAGTGGAAAATCAATTTTGGCACAACTCAAGGAATCCCCAGCACACTCAGGAGTATCCTTAGGATTCCATGGAATATTGGCTGAGGAAGGCTGAGAAGGTCAAAACCACTGTCATTTGTTTTTGTTTGTTTTTTTGCTCTCTGTGTCTCATTGGGTAGATTATCCTTTACTTCTTGTCTTTTAGATACAACAGGGTGTGAGAGGGAATCTTCTTTCACACCTGTTCCAGTGACAAATGTAAAATTTTAGCCTCCACTAGGAAGGATAAAAATGGTAAATCTCCCCAGCAGAGAAACAGACAGGAATAAAACCTTAAAGTGCAAAAACACAACAAAAGCATGAAACCAAATAGTGAAAGAGTCCAAGTCACTTTAGAAATTCATAATATGATCTCATACCATATCATGCCATACCGTACCATACCAGAAGAACACATATGTTTCAAACATGTTTCAGGGGCCAGCACAGTCCTCCTTCATCAGGGTTTGGAATCGTTATTAGGAGTTCAGTGAACTCAAGTTGTGAAACAAGTTGCCAGACAATAGTATATTAGATTTAGCTTGATTACTCAAGCAATAGCAGTGAGAAAGCAATGTCTGCCGCTCTTGAACTCTTTCACCATTTCCTTTGGCGTCCCTGTTGCATTTTAGGCTTTCAGTCACATTTTGGATAACCAATGAATGGGAGCTATGCTTCATGTGAACAACCTTATCAGAGTCAGTGAGGTCCTTGAATAATTGTTATGTCTCCATTTTACTGAAGCCCCCCCTCTTGGATATGTCTTTTAGGAATAAAAAATCTTGATGGGGGTTCCAGGAGCAGACTGACAACTCATGGGGCCCCCGGGCAATAGGGGATCATGGGGCCCCTGTGTCCTTGCCCAAACTCAAAAAAGCTATGAAAAAGGTACCAGGGGCATCTCATGGGGCCCCCTACTGACCCCGGGCCCTCGGGCAGTGCCCGAGTTTCCAAATGGTCAGTCCGCCCCTGGGGGGTTCTAACCCTTTCCTACTCTAGCCAAAACTAAACATAGCTTTGCCTGTAGATAAACATATGCAATTCAGCTTTATAAATAACAGGCACATGAAAAGGAACAAATATGTATAGCATTGAAATTGACCTGTTCCCAGCTTACCTCTTTTATACAGTATCTCAATGTAAGTATACACCTTTTAGTACAAGACCAACTGCAGGCTTTCTCAACCTTTTAAACATGGATGAACCCTTCATATAATGTCCAGGTCTAAGTTAGCCCCTGCTGATAGTTATTGTATCTATCACTCATGAGACATTAGCATGAACAGCAAGGATGGCTTTTACACAAAAGGGGATGAAAAGCAAGATACCTGGATGATGCCTGTACCTGCAGGCATCATCCATATATCGCCACTTCAAGTCTAGGATGTCATATAACATCCTACAGGTGGGAAGTGGTTAAATTGGTGGTCATTGGAGAAGGGTCCCATTACACTGGTGGTTAGTGGAAGAATGCTCCTTACATTAGTAACCTGTGGAAAGAATGCCACTAACATTAAATGTCAGTGGGGGGAAAAATGGCATTTGTATTGATAGTCAATAGAGAGGAATACTCCTTATACAGAAAAAGTGAAAGAGATCATTTGTGTTAGAGGTAACTATCTGAAAGGCAGGAATTGTTAATTGAGCAAGAAACCCCTATTAACCCCTGGAGGAACCCTGGATGAGAAAGGTCACCTTAGACAAATTGTATGTTTGAGTTGTTTATAGTAAGTGCAGGTCACCTTAACTATCAAATGCTGTTTTAAAAAAGAAGAGAATGAAGATGGCAGCTCCTGGTTACACAGGTAGACTTCACTACACTATGAAGGAAACTAATTGCTGCTTGTGCCATTAAAGAGGAACTTCAGTTAAAAAAATACAAATACTGTAGCAGCTGACTTTTAATAAAACACGCTTACCCGGCCAGGAATCCAGTACAGTCTTCACCAGAGCCAGTTCTTCACTGGTTTTCAGGTCCCCAACCCCACCTGCCATGTTGACTGCGGGAAGCTGACTGTGACTCCCTGCAGCTTCATAGCCAGATCCTCACTGCACATGCATGAGCTATCCTGCGCTCTGTGAATGGTCCGACAGCCGCTTGGGACCTGACCTGTGATGTGTCCCATGAGGTTTCGGGAGGTGGGAGGTAAACTTCCGATCTGAGCAGAAATGGGAATGGGTGCCTACTCCGAGGGAAAAAAGACAAAAAAAACTTCAAACAGTATGCCAGTGTAGATGAATCTTCAGGGCTGCAGGCACTTGATGCCCTTGGCACATGGCATGACAAACATACATTAATGCACATGTCAGACTTGGCAGCATTAAAAATGCGAAGATCTCAAATCTAGTACACACAGGGGAAGCATTAACAAAGTCAGGTGCTTCTGCTGGGATATTTACCCTCTTTATTGGTCCTACTGAGCAGTGGAAAAATACCAGTTGGGATATTTGTTCTGATGACAACTAAGAGGGGAATTCCCTTTTTTTGGAGAGATTTCCTCTTATTTCCATGACAGGAAGTGAAGGTAGTTCACCACTCAAAAGTGGAAGCTCCACTTGTTTGCCTCCTCTCCCCCTCCACTATCATATTTATCACCTTTTGGGGGGGAGCGGATAGCAGTTTTTGACAGGCACCAGCTCCCATTTCCAGCTCACTTTACTGCAGTGAAGTGAGCCAGAAGTTTGGCCCCCTCCTTCATCCCACAGTCTCCTGGGGACCTTCACAGGTCCCAGATAACTGCCAGACCAATCAGAATGTGCAGCACAAAGCCGCAAGCTGTCCCAGGCTGGTGCCCACAGTTGTGATGCCCGTGCGGGGGAAAGAAGAGGCAGAGAAGGGATGGCGCGGGTGAGCACATCGCTGGACCCAGGGATAGGTGAGTGTGTGTTTATTAAAAGTCAGCAGGACCCCTAGGGCCCGGGGTCAGTAGGGGGCCCTATGAGATGCCCCTGGTACCTTTTTCATAGGCTTTTTTGAGTTTGGGCAAGGACACAGGGGCCCATGATCCCCTATTGCCCGGGGGCCCCATGAGTTGTCAGTCCACCCCTGGTTGGGACCTCACTCTTTTCCTCACTCTTTCCTGTAGGGCACAGCGAATAGGTCCCACACCCACTCCTACAATAAACTGATCTCATTATACTCTAGCTTATCTGGAGCACCTATGTTGGCACACCCTTGCAAGTCATTCTTCTCCAGTTGTTTCCATAACGTCTGAGGGGCTACAGCATAGTGAGTGCTCACCCTCTTGTTGTCTGCAGATGAAGAACATATGTCTTAACTACGGTTATGATCACATTCCCCCAAATAGGTCCTCTAGTCGTACCACCATTTGTTCTATGCTAGTGCATGTATCTTCTGGTAGCACCATCACTGCTTGGCGTTGTCCTCCAAGGAGGTAATAGCCAGATCTGCTATGAGCTGGGGAGGTACTTTGTAAAGATGGACAACACTCTCCTCCCACTGCAATAGGGAGATGTTAGACCCATTAAATTTGGGTATCAGAGCCAAGGCCACTCCCAGCTGCGCAATGGAGGCCGTTACTCCCCCGTCCATGCGAGCCTCTGAGTGGGGCATATCCTGCCGACGTGAGTTCCTCCTGTCCATTACTCTCCCTGCATTGTGGCGCTGTCAGCACCACCTGTGCATGGAGGCCAAATTACACCTGCCTACAAGCTGTTCAGCATGTTTTTACAGCAGATGATTGGCAGGGAAACTTCCACCAATCAGAGGGCGAGTGGTGATGTTTACGTCAATCCTAAAATTAAATATTTGAAGGTGTCACAGAATTCTCAGAGTGGTTCTCTCTCATTTAAAGCCTGCTTGGGAAATGACAGCAGAAATTTGGCTTTTGTTTCAACACCCATAATATGCAAACCCAACTTTTCAGTAGCATTTATCTGTGAGTATTTGTATAACACATTTATACACAAATATTAACAGTTTTGTTTTGTCTGTTTAGGTCTCTTAGAAATTTCCACAGTAGAAAGAGGAGTTATTAGCTTGTACGGTATGAAGACTGAACAATTTATAGCAATGAACAACAAAGGAAGAGTATATGCTTCAGTAAGTACTGAATATTCCTGTGATATTACTTGTGCTAAGATGAGTAGTAAATATTTACTTAAAGTATATCCAAGTTAATTTTTTAAATTTTGGATAAAGTAGAGAAGGGTTAAAATCTAGTTCATGTATTATTTTTTTTTGCAATCTGCATGTAGGCAGGTTGCCTATAGGTTGTTTTGCGAGACAGTGGTTAACCCAGGCTGGGAGACGGTTTAAGTTTTGAGCTGCTGTTCTTGGGCTTTTTAGATCCAGCCTACCTGCCTCTGATATAAATATGGGGAAAGGCTGAGTCCCGGAGTTTCAGCCTGCACAAGAGAAGGATCATGTGAGTGCTGCAAGGAGGGCTGTTGTGCTTTGAAGTCCGTCTGAGACCCCGGGAGTCCAGAGTTCAACCAGGTACTGCGGAGTTTGGCAAACATGGACTTTCTGTAGCAAAACGTCCAGGCATACCTCCACAAGGTTGTGGAGGTATGATTGGACATTCTGCTAAGATAGTTAGGGACATTGTAAGGACTCTGTTCATGTTGGACTCTACTGGTCTGATAACTCAATTGAAAATTACATCAATTGTCCTAAGCCTGTTCTGAAGTTTTTTAAAGGGGTGTATGACATTCTCTGGCATATGAAATAACTTTGGCCAGTAAAGCACATATGGGGTACAAAGCAAGGCCACTACTTAAAGGGTTAATGTGGTAAGACAAATTAAAGAGGAATGCAGTTGCTACGAGTAACCAAGTATTGATGTATAGTGTACAGCAGCCTATCATAAAGCATGGTACTCGGCGGGGGGGGGGGGGGGGGGGGGGGGGGGTCCTCCAGCAGCAAGGGAGTCAGAGATTTGTCTTCCTCCCCATCGGTTAGTTTCCCACAGCAGATCAAACCCCCATTACGGAGACTTGCAGCCTAGCCTTACAGTACGGGAGAGCTGGAGGGGTTAAGTGAGAACACCCTTAAAGTCCACGCTCGTGCTCGATGACACCCCATTCTGTCACTGGGATGGAGGTGCCAGAGGTATGCTGGTCAGGTGGAGAGTGCATGGGCTGAGCAGTGACCCTCCTAAATGAGACATTTTATGAAAAGGTGTGCAGACGTGGCATGGGAGGCTTTATAGAGGAATTCTGCATGTTATATCACTACACCCAGCCTACTGCCGGAGAATCACCATAATGTTTGGATTTCACAGAACGTGGTCCCCCTCTTGGAGTGGCGCCACCCACATGCATCACATTAGGAAGATTACCCTTCCCTTTCTGTCCTGAGAGGTGAGAGCAAATCTTTTCTGAAAGAGAGGTCCCCTGTTAGATAGTTGTCACTAAAATACATGTCCTTATTGGAAAATGTCCCCTCAATTCCTGTTTTGGAGGCAAGTCAAAATTTTGGATTTCCCTTGCTTTCTGTCCATGTGACAGTTGTTACCAGGGCAAATAGAGAGGGTGACTGGCTCCACTAGGGACACAGACCCCCTCCCCCCACCACTGTATCCAAAACGAAAACCTTTTGGCTTCAAATACACTTTAAATTCTTTGATGCTAAAAAATGTTTTATTATTAGTTTTTTTTTTTTGAATGATAATGCTGATTATTATTTATGTATTTTAAATGTATTATTATTATTACCTACTAAATAGAAAATTCATAGTGATGTCAATGGTCTTTAATAAATGGATAGCTGCATCCTTAGTGTTGTCACTGGTCTCTGTTTAATAGATAGGCTGTATTTCCAGAGATGTTGCCAGAACTTAGTGATTTGATTGGCAGATTCTCAGTGATATCATTAGTCTCTGTTTAATGAACAGGCTGAATTCCCTGGTCTGTGTTTTGTAGATAGATTGTAGTCTCAGTTTCTTCGCTGTTGTATTGTAAAGAGACAGGCTGGAGGCTTTCTGATTTGTTATGAATTGTGAATGAATAGCTGTAATACTGAAATATATTTTGCTGCATGGCAGTCTGACACTTACTGCAAAATATAAATATATATATAGTATATGCAGAAAGTTTATAACAGTTTTTTTTTACCATCTGTCAAATTAAATCAAGTATGTGGTTTTAAAGTGCCAATTCACCAAAAAAAAAAAAATGCTATTTCAATTATAGGTGGAGCTCAATAGGGTATTTAGAGTACTCCAAATAGGAGATCTCCCTGCCTCAATTGCTGACTTATTTCCTATCCACCTGAAAGTTTTCCACCCATCCTTGCAAGTTGCCTGTCCTCCATAATGTTAAAAAAATCCAGCAGGTTGAATGGGGACCCATCATAATGGGAACAGCTTTCATTAAAATGATACCTGGTGATCCTGCCATGAAGGATATTGTTGAAGCACCTTCTATTTATAGGGTGACAATACTCTGTCTCTGCCTCTCAGTTGTGGTCCTATGTTGACAATCTGGCTTCCAGCAGAAACTACAAGTGGCTGTTTTGGTTGATCGTACAGACATAGTCCATCACTGAAGTGCATGTAGACAAAAAGTGGCTGCAAAGAGGTTTCAGGAGATCAGCAGCATTGAGATACATAAAAGGATTTAAAAAAGGTGAAAATAAGTATTTTATAGAAAAAAATATTCTACAGAATGCTTAGGAAACTAAATGTCATTCAGTTGGGTTTACATCTACTTAAATTGTATGGCGAGGGATGCATGCATTTGTAATTTCAGTTACACAAGCACAAAATAACCTTGGAGCTACAGGATTATGTTCATGCGTCTTTCTTTACCCTGCAAAATATTAAATGTCATGTTTTCTAATCCCGTTTTTGGATCTGGTCACCATCATGTATTTGTTTTCAAATATAAGTTGCACTATAAATACGTTATGGGCAAATAAAAAAGAACAGACCCTCTAATGTATATCAGCTCGCTGAGGGTTAGAGCTTAACAGGTGGCATCTGACCCATGCGACTTGGAAGCAGAAGGACGAGATTTATTGTTGGATGTAGACTTGCAGGCACCGACTGTCATAACACGCTCTTATCCTTTACAAATAATGACTTTCCAAAGAGTCTTGTAAAGGCACCAAATCTCAGCATACTGTACTTAGCTGGTAAGGTCACCCCGCACATGGGCACACAGTGGCATCCTTGCAGGGACTGACGTCACGCTAATTCCGGTAGGCACTATAAGCGCAGCCTGACCTCATGCACAGATATGAGGGCGTTATTTTAGACTGTTTTAGCTATTAGTGTTGAGGATTATCCGTAGTCAGTCCCTGGTTCTGGGTATACCGAGATCTACCCAGAGGAGCCAGCTATAAGGTGTCCACTTAATATCCTGTGACACACTAGCCTTGTATAATCCTCAAAGAATTTTAAACTGGAACTCCAGCCAAACAACTAAAAACACAGTTAAACTGCATAATTTTCATGCGTCGTACAAGTTCAAATTGCAACTATCATCAGCTACTCAACTCTCTACTTGCTACTACGTCAAATGTTGCCACCTTGCAATGTGATCCTATGGCACTGCTCCCCCATCCAGATAAAAGGCTATGCAGTTCCAGCAGCATGTACATGTAACACAAACTAGTAAGACTGCACACCGATTCTCCACAGATATTCAAACCATTTAATCAAGCACACCGGCTACTCAGACATATTGAAACACGTAGAGAGGACCCTCCACCCACTCGATTCCCTTGATGAGAGGAAGTCATTGATGCTTCTTCTTTCACTTTTCAATCATAGGCTGGGACAGGTCCAGGGTGACCTGGGCTCAGAAGAATGGGTTGAATGATGTTGGCTATCAGACTGAGGACACCTAGTGGCAGAAAAAAATACTTCAGGGGAATTTCTGGATTGAAGGTGAATATTGCAGAAAAGGCTATTTTATCTTTTTTTTTTTTGCTGGAATTCTGTTTTAAGTGAAATCACACATCAAGAAAGAGATGGGCAGATTTTCAAATAACTTCCGCTGCTTAAATCACTGCATCTACTCATCATTGTGAAAGGCGGTTTCCACTCAAGGTATACTCTGCTAATGTAGGCTAACTCCTGGCAAACAGCTAAATACAGAGATGAAATACACTTAAGGAAGCCAAAGAATTTGTAATTCTGACCATCCAGTCCACAGCCCCATCAATCTCCACAGCCAAGTCTGGTAGGGCAGGAGATCTGATGTTTCTCGTCTCCAGTTAAAAGTAGAATAAAGCTTTTTTGGCCATACTTCTCCTCTGGGTCATAGGACTGCACTTACCACTGAAGAGGTCACTAAGGTCTTCTCTGAAGCTCGCCTTACCACCTGCCCCCTTGACCCTGTCCCCACACAACTCCTACGGTCACCCTCCTCCTCCATCCTACGCTCCCTCACTCACATCTTTAATCTCTCCCTCTCTACTGGCACATTCCCCTCCCCTCTGAAGCACGTGCACATCACTCCCATACTTAAAAAAACCCCTCCCTGGATCCCACCGACCTGAACAACCTTAGACTCATCTCCCTGCTGCCATTTTCATCCAAACTCCTTGAGCGCTTAGCCTATAATCGCCTTGATCCCCTACAATCTGGCTTCTGTCCCCTACACTCCTCCAAAACCACCCTACTCAAACTCGCCAACGACCTGCTAACCGCCAAAGCCAATGGCCACTACTCAGTGCTACTACTCCTCGACCTCTCTTTCGACACGGTCGACCACCCCTCCGCCTCAAAAAACTATACTCTTTTGGCCTCAGAGACTCTGCTCTCTCCTGGCTCTCTTCCTATCTGTCTCAACGCTCCTTCAGTGTTACCTATAACGCTGCCACCTCGCCCTCACTCCCTCACTCTGTTGGAGTCCCCAAAGGTTCTGTCCTCGGGCCCCTTCTCTTCTCCATCTACACCTCCTCCCTTGGTCAACTGATACACTCCCACGGCTTCAACTACCATCTCTATGCCGATGACACTCAAATCTATCTCTCTACCCCTCGCCTCACCCCTTCAGTCTCCGCCCGAATCACTAGCCTTCTGAATGACATATCAGATTGGATGTCACTCCACTTCCTCAAATTAAACCTTTCCAAAACTGAGCTCCTAG